TAAAAAATTTTTTTTCTATGCGTTTTCTCGTACTTTTGAGCGTGAGTGGTTTCCTCCAATTTTCTAAAAATTTCAATTTCAATTCAAAATTTGGAAGACATTCGTTTTCTATAAATTTGTTCATATTTGTTCATATTTTCGTAGCACTAGTTGTATTTACGTTTTTACGTTCGTAACAATAATTTTTGCTGGCGACTCACGTCAGCGATATCGCTTTATGCGTTAGTGCGATTCCACGCTAAATACCCTCTCTTCCGGTTGACGTATTGACCAATCAGAGCGCGTGTTTACTGTAAGCTATGCGATTCTAATTATTACATCGTCAATCCCTGGTACTTTGTATAAAATAGTTGTGTGAAACAATTGTATGAAATTAAAAAAGAAAACAAAGCTTTAAGATTATAAAACAGCAATAACGAAATCATTATTTATAAAATTTCTTTCGTCTAACGACTCTACCGCCATTTTCTACCCGTACGAACTTTAAATAATCACATGCAGTCGTTGAAACGTTAATCAAAAAAATCCCACCAATCATTTTTATCCCAAGATTCAAAAAAACGGAATAAGAAAATTATTCCAAGTTGATATAACCTTCGGAAAAAAATTTTCTAAACATGAAAGCGTTCAATCTTCTTTGTCCACATCCTATGGAAGCAATCTTCATGGTTGTGCCAAGCTGTTAACTGATTTTTCACATAAAAGAACTGCTCATCACACCACATCTCGCTCAAAACCTGGACTCTAGTCTCCCACCTTTCGCACCCACTGTCCCCCTGCTCAGCAAACTGGTCCTCCTTCTTTAATGTAACCTGGCCTTGAATTGTAACCTTTGCAGTTGTTGGGTCGCTTTCTTTGATTGTAAAGATTTCTTTTCTGACGCTATCGTAGATGCGGTTCGTGTCTTTCAGATTAAAACATCCAAGGTCAGTGGTAAATGACAGCTTGTATTCATCTGACAACTGACACGTCTCCAACGTCCTTCATAAAAAAAAGGCGCATCTTTAACGGGTGCACTTCTATTGTCATGACAACATCATGAAATAGTTTGAGGTCTGATACCACCGACGACAAAACTTCCCAATTCAGAAGATAAATAATACACCCTTTTTGTTACACAGTTTAATTGAAGTCTTTTCTTTATCACTTGAAACTATAGAGCATTTTTCCCCCTATGAATTTCCACGGCTGTTTTCTAATTAAGAATAGTACGATGGACCAACAAACAAATATTGACCGAAATGAATTCGAGAAAACAAAACAACAAGCGAGAAATCGAATCAAATGACCATATCATTCAATCAGTCGACTATTTATGATTATAACATAACCAAAGTAAAGCGCGCGCTCTGATTGGTCAATTTAGCGTTTAGAAACTCCCGCGTGCATCCATAACTCAATAGTGTACGCTGTGGTGTTTACCATTTGTTAACTGAACAGTGGAACGGAACAAAAATTTGGCAATTTCATGCATGGACCACAGCAAAAATGTTCAGCTGCAGCAGTTCACACCCCATTTTGTTTACCTTGCTTTCTTCGGTCTTCTCCGCCACTCAACAGGTAGAATCTCGTGATTATACTCCATCGGTGATTCCATCTCTTGCAATTGCAGCTCGGAATCCTTGTTTCTGAGGTCGTCACTCGATACTCGAAATGGAAGTAGCAGCTTGCTCTTACTTCCTGTTTTTATCAAGAGACTTGACGCCTGCGGAGAAGGCCACACTAACGGCCAGTGGACCGAGGAGAGCGCCAAGCGAATTTTATGACCAGCGGCAACAGTGTAAGCTGTAGAGTCAAGCTTCAACTGTGCATAAATACTTTTATTTGGTTGAAGAGGCTGAATATCTTCTGAAGCATGACCGCGGAGATGAGTCAAGTTAAGCACACCTGTAAGGAAATTAAAATAAAAAATAAACAATTTCAACATCATCGGACAGGGTTGAACAAAACACCGTGATTTATTTAAATTGGCGTGCAGATTAAATGTTTTTTATTTTAAGTTTAAGGGTTTTTTTTTTCAGATTACCACCAACGACAAATCGTAAGGTGTGTTGTTTTGTGGTAAGCAAGGACTGAAAGAATGAAAATAAGAAAGAATGAACAACGCCGGGTTGTTTGTTCGCTAAGTTCACGTACCTCTTGTGATTAATGCTGATTCGCCATTAGGAAACAAGTCACAAAGTCTGGCGGCTACCAAGGCACTGGGTCTATCACAGCTTAACTGTAAGTGAACCTCGGCAAAGCCTAATACCTCCACAGGCTCTTTCAGCGTTTTCGTCTCCCAGCACTCCGCCAAAGCGTCCTCTATTCCTTGCTCCACCGGCAGATCCTCGAGACTATTTGCAAATAGAACACCGCCCCACGCTCCACTGAGACAAGATGACTTGACTGGCACGATGGATTCTTTTGGCTCTTTTTCAATGAATTTTTCGTCTCTATCCGATTTAAGTACCAGTCCTTTATCATTTTGTAGTACGAATTCATGTTGGTGTACATTTGATGAGGGCCAGTGGTCTACTGCTATCCATCTTCCAGGCCATGTCTCCTCCTTGTGCGCCTTCGGAATTCCTGGGATCGTAAAAATTGGTTGGTCATGGTTGTTACGAAAAATAGTGTTGCGTGACATGCATGACCTTCTGGAAGCTTCGCGAAAGGTCATGGCTTGTCTATTTTAGTAAATTATGTAATCGTTTCTAAAAGCGGTATATTTTGTAATGTCGCTATAATTAGACCTTTTTTTAGAAAGTTCTAGAACTTTATCGCGTAAGTATATAAGTAGGATAGGTTAAGCGAAGGTTTAAATAAGTTTTCACAAGCGAAGAGAGTCAGTCGTGATCAGTCAAGTGTGACGAGGCAGTGTTTGTTGAATTTGGCGGAGGCCGTGAGTATTTTCAAGTCGATTGAAGTTGGCGGAGGCCGTGTGTATTTTTCAAGTTTATTGAAGTTGGCGGAGGCCGTGAAAGTTTACTGAGTTACAAGCTAGTGTACATGCTACGTTCATTTTGGAATAAATCTTCTTGTTGCTGTTCCGACAACCCTGCGTTCTGTTTAGACTGCAAATCATCGCCACTCAACCCGATGACCGAACTCGTAACAATGGTGCAAACAGATATCGTTTGATACCAAATTAGAAATATAAAGAAAAAAACAATTGATGAAAGCATACCATCCCTCATATACACCCTCATCACAGGCTCGTCCATGACACCAGTCGGAAGGCCCTTTAAATGGTAGTCCCACCACCTCAGGCAATCTTTCAGATGGTCTATGCGAGGCCCTGGTGTGGAGACACCAGGCCATTTATGGGGCCACGGTCCAATGAGCGCCCGAACTGGGCAATTCAGGTGTTCCACCATACGAAATATTGCATCGGTGTAGAGATCGGTAAATCCCCCCACAAGGAACACGGGACACTTGATAGAGGCGTAATCCTCGGCGATGGAACCATGCTTCCAGTATGCATCACGTGACTGATGTGAAAGCCAAATGTGTATCCAAGGTTCACTGGATTTGTTCAAGCGATCCAGCCAAGCTTCCTTCCATCTGAAAGGTTTACGGAGATGTACACTTAGAAAAAAAACCTTACGTGATTCAAAGCAGGATTTATCTGCGCTTTACAGAAAGATATTTCGATGGAGAGAATAATTTTCATTGCAGCGCGAGAAGGATGAAAACTAATACCTTGGTCCAAAGTTTTCAGGATAGGGAGGACGTGCATTATATAACAACATGAGGTGTGACCATGACAGCATTTCCCTGCCAAGGATACAGCCACCTCGGTAATGAATATCATCAACATATCGGTCATCGCTAGAGTCAGCAGATATGATTGTCTTCAATGCCGTAGGTTGTCTGGCGGCCACCTGAAGACCATTGAATCCTCCCCAGCTTTTACCATACATGCCTGGAATTTAAAACAGTAAGCCACGATAACCACCTCTGTTCAGTATCAATTCACCCTCTATATTCATGAAAGTCACCCTCTGGTCTCTTTCTCGGCTGCTTTTTGGNCTAGTTTTGGGAAAAATTTTCGTACAAATTCTTGTCTGTTAAATAAATAAATAAATAAATAAATAATGATTTAACAATGGACATCCACTGGGTGGCTATTCTTGTCCACTGTTCCAGATCGAATTGGAATTTGGAATGTTGGTTTTTGCGGAGGGAGGAAAACCGGAGGACCCGGGGAAAAACCCTCGGAGCAAGGACGAGAACCAACAACAAACTGAACCCACATGAGACGCCAGGTCCGGGAATCGAACCCGGGCCACAGTGGTGGGAGGCGAGTGCTCTCACCACTGCGCCATCCCTGCTCCCCGTTCATCATCAGAGTCAAGATTCTTGGCTCTGATGATGACTTCCGCTTAGATTGTCGAAACGTCAGTGACCAGCCCCTCTCTCCCGGACAATCAGGATATAAAATTTGCGTATTAATCCCAAATTTGTATTTTCTGACATTCTATGAAATTATGACAGACAACTATGACAAACAACAGCTGCTGAGAGCAACTACAGATTGCAGGACCACTGAGGTCCATTTTTTTCGGGACGCCTTGGAGAACGAGGCACAACACTTAAAGATGTATAGTGATTCACTGTGATGTAAATAAGTGGCCCCTGTGTTCTGTTATTTTACCAGCTTTTACCTAGAATAGCTGGGTATTTTTCAACCTCTAAGGACGTTTCAGATGTCTTTTCCTCCAGTTCAGGGATCCACAGCTTAGCTGCCAGTCTGATCCCATCTCGCATTGGTATCCAGGCCGTCTGAATTCGATGCACAGCATATGACATGTTGATCTATGCAGGTAATGTTTCTGCAATTGAAAAGAAAGTTATGAGTAGACAAATGATAAGATAATGATAATATTGTATGTGACCAATATCCAGATTTTGCACGAGGTCAGAACGTGGGCAAGGAAGGTGGTGTGATTGAAGGGTGATATTTTTGAAGCTCTCTTCTCTAAACTTCTTGGTACTTTTAGACAACATTTTTTGAATTTGTCGCTAACTCTCCACTAGTTCTTGAAAAGACTGGGATTGAAAACAGCAATTTTCTACCTAATCAAAAGACAAAATCCAAAACTGGTGAAGAAGAAGGATTCCGAATCGAAATTGTTCCGTTGCAAACGCCCATCTTTGCCTCTTGCTTCGTTCTTACACTGGATGTATGACAAAGCACTTGATGACTGCTCCCCACTCCGTCTCGGGAAACATTGACTCTCTAAGGGGAGCAAAACTAATGGTTTCCCATGGGAGACATACAAAGGGTTCTTAAGTGTACAATATCTTAAATATGCAGTTCTTTGAGTTTGAAAACAGCCCATATCGTCCATATCGGTGACGATATTTTCTTGCTCTGAGTACTTTATTCCCCTTTATGACAACAAATTGTAACATTTAACTTCATTTTTGATAAACTAATCACGTTTTATTTCCTTAGCGAGAGATCATATGGACAACACTTCGTGACACAATTAGCATATGAAGATTTTTTTTTTTCCTTTGAAACAACTTTTTCGCTAACCGCAGTTATGATTACTCTTCAATGGAATCTATATTCTGGCACGATAAGCAATTTTAAGATTGCTCTCGACTTGAAGATGATATTACTTTAAAACTAGAAGCTTTTTCGTTCTAATTTTGGTATTGAGAGATAAATTGAGTAAATTTCAAATACGATATCAAAAGTAGTCAACATTGAAGAACTCAGTGCACAATACACGGGTCGCATTACATCATATTTGGCAAAGTTTTCGCGCTTTATCATTGCGTTCCGTTGATTTCTTGTGATGATCAGAAGCGGACAAAATGGAAATTCTTTTTTATGATATCAAACGATAACTTTACCTTATTCTCACCGTTATATGTCCGTAGAATTATCTTTCTCGGAAACACGAGGGTACTTCTGCAGCCGGCTGCCAACCACAGTGAACTTGTTGTTTTGAATTCCTTAACACCGTAAGAGCTTGGAGACGAAATTTGACCGGATGTTTTTTTTACTGGTACGCAACACCACACAAGACCTAGTCTACGATCATTGGCTACGGGTTTATTTGGTTACCGGCTCTAGAGATTTCTCTTTCTAATCCTTGAGCAGTTTTGAGTCGTAAAACGAGTCGTTTTCTATGAAATCCAACGGGAGCTAAAGAAAAGAAGCTTAATCTAGTTTTTTCGCATAGGCCAAGGCAAGTGACAATTACAATGAAGTTTCATCAGAATCGGTTTGTGGTTTAATACCTCAAAATCAAGGATTTGATTTTCTTTCAATCCACAGTTGTTAAAAATTCAATGATACTGAGACCCGAAGGATTTCTCAAAAAGATATTTTGTTATTTTTTTAATTATTATTTTTTTTAGAGCTGACCTCCCATTTTTTTTTTGAGTCATTCCATCACGTTGAAGCAAGTGACCTATGGAAACATCCCATTAGTCGGGTATATTAGACGTTTCATTCTTTCGCAAATATTCCTGTCCAAAAGGGAGAATATATCAAGATGTATTTATTCACATCAAGTTTTATATATCTATGTCAAGATTAGATTACACCTATCAAGAATTGCGTACACGTAAAACGAGATTTCAATATACGTATCAAGATTTACGTACACGCATCAAGATCCGCTTACAAGTACATCAAGTCAAATAAATATTGATCAAGTTCCTCTCACAAGGATCGACAATCAAATATTATATCGAAGTTCGCGTACCGACATCAAGACTCGCATTTATACATCAAGATCCTCATATACATGTTGTAGTTCAATTTTATCCTTGGTTCAAATTTATTTTCCTTTGTTTCAAACTCATTATCATACATTAACATGACCGAGAACAAAGGAAAATAAAATTTGAACCAAGTATAAAACTGAACTACAACATATACATCAAGATTTAAACATCGAGATTGTGATAGGATTGTATGATGTACTAAGTGAAAAGTTTGCCTGGTTACTTAGCACGATATTACCGTAAGCGTAAACATAAAAATCGCGGCTGATAATGCTAAGAGAAATGCTAAGTGAAATGTCTCATCTTGAGCGCTTTTTCGAGGAATTTCTGAGAACTCTCCACGAAGCAATCGAAGGGCTGGAGCAACTGCAGAATACCCGTCCACCTCATGTACATGTGTCGGAAGGTTTTGAAGAATGAGGCATAACACAATAGACGCTATTCTTCTTTAATGACATGTAAATTAGGTGGCCGGGTATTCTGAAGTTTAGCCGAAGGGCTCAACGGTCAGCAGTGTGAGCCAAATTGTGCGAATTACCCCCTATATCGTCTTCGTGACTTTGAAATAACTCTTGGTTGGATTTCAAGCCGACTTGCGTCACTTCAGTGGTTCATTCCTCAGATCAGTTTCTTGAAGACATCGACGAACTTACAAGGGCCCTGCCCTGTGTTCGTTACAGGCAAGCTAGTTATCCAGGCACAATGATGAAAGTGTCGCAGAGCCTGGTAATGA